GGCCTTTAACAGCGGTCTTCAGACCGGGTATGCCCCCCAGTAGGGACGCTGACCTGGTCCCTCCTTCCCTGGGATGCGGCTGGCCTCTTTGCTCCTCCAATAGCCCACACTGCGGTTACCCTCGCTGTCGACTCTGTAGTGCGGGGAGCAGTCAGCCCCTCTCTTGGCGCTGCTGCCGACCCTTCTGCCGCCTCAGCTGTCAGGTTCCCCGCTGGCTGTGCCCCCACTTACGGGGCTGACTCCTCCCCTCCTCGTGCTGCTCCCAGCTGCTTCGCCGCGCTGCTCATCGGCGGGGCCGCCTTTTGTTTCTCCCGGCAGACGTGCCCCACCCCCGCCGCTCAGCCACAGTCGGATAAACGCCCGGCTCACGACCCATGCCGGCACAGCCTGCGCGTGGACTCTCTTCGGCTCCTCCGGCCCTGCGGGAGGTAAGGCAGGCGTGCCCCGCCCCCGCCGCTCAGCCATGGTCGGATAAACGCCCGGCTCACGACTCTCTTCGGCTCCTCCGGCCCTGCGGGAAGTAAGCGGATCCCTTTGCTGCCGCGGGGTCTCCCAGCGCCCCCGCTCCCCTGGGACAATTTGCATATGCAGTTTTACACAAGAACCCTCGTTCCATCTGCTATTTAGCTCTGCTGTGTCTGCTTCTCTCCAAGAGACATGAGGAAGGGTGCTGTGATACCCAAAACCTTGTCTAAGTCTACACCAAGCATGCAGTTGGTCCAATAAAAGATATCACCTGCAAACATCCTTGACCCTCACATTAACTCAAGACAAGGTGTTAATTCCCCTAAACTGAATTGACTGTGTTTGACAGGGATAAATGACTCAGGAACTGAGCCCCATGCACAGTGTTTGGAGCACAGGGGCATTAAGTGCACGAGGGATGTATGGAGAATGAAGAGGAGAATGAACAGAGGCAGGTTCTCAGTTCTTCTCTGCTCTTTTTGGGTCTATCTATCTCTTTTGGCCCTCCCCTTCCCCTGCCTGATCTGCTGTTCTGCTTTCCGTTCCCTTCCCTGTGCTCCATGCCCAATTTATCATGCAATTGTATAGAATGAGAGCTGGAAGGGACCTCAAGAGGTCACGTCTAGTCCAACCCCCTGCTCAAAGCAGGACCAACTCTAACTAGATCATCCCAGCCAAGGCATTTTCTAGCCAGTTCTTAAAAACCTCCAAGGATGGAGAGCAACCTCTCTGGGGAGCCTATTCCAGTGCTTTCCTATGCTCCTAGTGAGAAAGTTCTTCCCATCAACTTTCCTTGCTGCAATTTGTGCCCATTGCTCCTTGTCCTGTCATCTGCCCCCACTGAGACCAGTCCAGCTCCATCCTCTTTGCAACTTCCCTGCAGGGAGGGGAAGGCTGCTATTCAATCCCCGCTTGGTCTTCTCTTCTCTGGCCTAAAAAGTCCAGTTCCCTCAGCCTCTCCTCACAAGTCATGTGCCCCAGCCCCTGAACCATTTTCATTGCCCTCCACTGGACTCTCTCCAACTTGTCCACATCCTTTGCGTAGTGGGGGCCCAAAACTGGACACAGGACTCCAGATGTGGCCTCCCCAGTGCTGCATAAGGGGAAGAATCACATCCCTTGATCTGCCGGCAATGCTCCTACCAATGCAGCCCAGGATGCCATTAGCCTTCTTGGCAAAGAAGGGCACACTGACCAAGGACATTTGGTTTGTTTAATGTTCAAGCAAATCTTGGGGTGCAGTGGGCTGGATGGGGGGTGATATCTAAATGGCTGGGGCTGGTAACAGACATAAAGGGAAACATCCCCAGCCCCTTCCCATCCAGACCAAAAAACCTATGGGAGAATCATACTGGTCTACTTCCCCATGCAACCCAGAAGCTTTTTTGGGGAGGGGAGCCCATACACCTCATCAATAAATGCATGAAATCTCCTGCCTTTGGACTGGGCAGCTTCCAAAAACAATTGTGCCTTGTTTCAACTGTGAAGTGCTCTGACATTAACTACCAGCCACTGGGTCTTTCTCTCCCTCTCCCCGCTAGATTGAGGGCGGATGGTTCTGGGCAGATATAGGGAATTTTGGATTTTGGAGCAGTGGCCATCAAGTGTCCCCAGTCTTTGCACCAGGATGCACAGAGCTCTGGATCCAGATAGTGAGGCTTGAGCCTAATGCAAGTGGGAAGGGCAGCACAGGGCTTGTTCCCGCTCCTGTTTACCTGTCACGGCAGTCTCACTTAGGGACTTTGGGAGGAGGTCAGTGCCTGGAAGAGACTGGATCCCCAGAGGGATTCCCACAGATGCAATAAAGGCATTTGCCTGTGACACGGCCCTGATCACCTTCCTCAGAGCACACCTGGTGCCGGCCTTGCAGAGCAGGCCCGAGAGAGCAGTGAGTTCAGCTGCACGGTTCCCTGTAGGTCCTCTGTTCTTCTCTGGGGCAAACGATGCGTCTTTAAAGGGAAGGGATTGTCTTTAGCTGGGTCTGAGTGCAGCTCCATGTTTTCACCTCCCGCCTGCATTGATCAGGGAGGTCCAGATTTCTGCAGGTGCAAGGAAGAATATAGAAAGCTGGTTACGTGGCTGAAGTCAAGCTCCCTGCAGACCACAGCTGCTGCCGACCCACCTTTATCTGCCAGCAAAGCGCGGTGAGTTCACCTTTGCAGTTCCTGCCAGGTGTTAGCTCCTTTCTTCTGGGTAACAAAATATGTATTGTTAACAAGGGAGTAGGTCTGCGTCCGTATGAGATGCTAGAGCTCCAACCCTTTCGAGAGGGCATGAGGTTTGATTTCAGGATGGGCAGACAAGAATGTGGCACACATGGGAGAAGCCAGGGTTTTTGGTGATCCCTCGTGCTGGACCAACGGTCTGGTTGGGAGAGATTTTTAAACAAGCTTTCAGGCACTAAAGGCCCTTCTTGAGGCCTGGGGAAGAAGAGGAAGTTTTTCTGGGTCACGATGGTGACAACCCTCAGCAGTGTGATGAACCCTGAGGCCAGCCGCATAAGAAATGCCATGATTAGACCCTGTGTGGCTGTTACAACTCGGTGTTGGTGCCTTCCTGGGCTGTGCTGTTCCTCAGCATGACTTAGGGACATCACAGCAGCATCCCATCCTATCCTAAGTCGACTTAAATGCTTTGCCCTCACTCACTATTGCAGTGGAAAGGCTGTTTGCAATTTACCTACTCTCCCTGCTCAGCTCTCTCTACTCCACAGGTCATCACGACCTTCTTCCCTTCTGAAGGGGTCACTTTTGCCATCTAACTGCTCCTTATATACTGGCACTTTTTTCTTAGTCCCCAGCCCACCTCCAAGCAGTTTTCAATTGCATGGGAGCTTTGCTCTGAGCTCTACCTCAGCCTGTGCTGCCTCTTTCTTAGTCAGGGACTATTCAGCATAGAAAAGAGGCACTTGCGGGAGGATATGAAAAGGGTTTACAAGACACTAGATGGTGAGGAAAAGTCACTAGGGATTTATTATTGACTCTCTCTCCCCTGACAAGAGCGAGGGGTCACAACATGAAAGGAGCAGGCAGGAAGTTTAAAACTAACACCAGGAAGTTCTTTTTCACCCAACGTGTCATTAAAGGGGAGAATTTGTGGCCATCAGATGTGCTGGAAACTGCGAGTTTAGCCAGATTCACCGAGGGGTTGGATACATCCTCAGAGGAAAGGGGCATTGGTAGCTATTGAGCATGAGAGTGAGGGGCACGGCTGCTGAATCAGACCTTTCTGGACCTTAAATGCTGCTAGTGAGAGAGGAACAAGGGGAAAAATCTTGGTCAGAGACAGTTCACTCTCCTGTCCAGCCTCTGCTCTCTGCTGCTGTGTGACACAAGAAATCGGGCAAGATGGACCTAAGGTGACTCCCTAAATGGCTGTTCTTATGCTCTTATATTCTAAGGACACTTGCTGCCCTAAAAGCTTGCCCTACAGGTCTCCCATCCATACAGCTGGTGCAATAAGAGATATCACTAAAATTCCCTGCTCCTCTGTCTGCCCATTCACATTATGATTTGGCTTACAGTTTTATTTGGGAGGGGGATCATATGTTTAACCTTGTGTCTTGTTGAGAATACACGTTAGTTTATGCAGAACCCCACTGTATGCTCACCCTCTGAGTGTACAGCACGTAGACTGATGGCTGTACATGTTCTGTCTAGCATCATTTCCCCTCAGATGTACAGAAGGGAGAAAGTCACCAAAGGAAATGCATGGGGGTGGGAAATACTAGCACATCCTCAGGTGCATTAAGCCAAACACTTGAAGGGGATGTAGCAGTCACTGGGCGTTGGAGCATGAATCGAACACTCACTTGTGAGGCGCACAAGTAGGAGACTTCACTCATGGAAAGGATCATCATGACTTATCTGTCCATGGTGGACACCGGCCTTTGTCCATATTGGCTCCTTCTGCCATTGTGTTGTCCATTCCTTGGGTCCCCTTCAAGTCCTTCACACTTCTACTAGATTAGATCACTTCAGTCATTTGGGGTCACCTACAAATGTTGCCGTCTTGCTGCTCATTTTCCAGGCCATTAATCAACAGATGGATGACATCCAGTGTGTCTCACTTCCCTTGACTACCCCACTGGGAGTCTATGTCCATGCTGAGGACTGACCAACTCTTCCTCTCTGTTTTGTGATGTACAGGAACCAAAAGCCTGCTGGTTATGTGACCGGACATCTCCAAGCTACCATGCCTGCTAATCTCACCATCACGTATTTCAACCCCACCACGTTGACACTGATTGGGATCCCTGGGCTAGAGGATGTGCAGGTCTGGATCGCCATCCCATTCTGCGTCATGTATATCCTTGCTGTCACTGGAAACTGCACCCTCCTAGCAATAATCAAAACAGAGCGCAGCCTCCATGAGCCCATGTACATATTCTTGGCTATGTTGGCAGGGACGGATTTGGTTTTATCCACTTGCATATTGCCCAAGATGCTAGGCATCTTCTGGTTTGGCTCCAGGGACATCAGCTTCAATGCCTGCCTAGTCCAGATGTTTTTTATCCACACCTTCCAGGCTGTAGAGTCAGGGGTGCTGCTAGCAATGGCTTTTGATCGCTATGTAGCCATCTGTAATCCCCTGAGACATTCAAGCATCTTCACAACCCAAGTGCTCTTCAGAATTGGGATCCTGTTGGTCATGAGGCCAACGGCATTGATCATTCCAAGTATCTGTCTGATTAAGAGACTGCATTTCTACAAGAGCACTGCCATTTCCCATGCCTACTGCGAGCACATGGCCGTAGTGAAGTTGGCGGCCGTGGATGTCAGAGTCAACAAAGCTTACGGCCTGTTTGTCGCTTTCACAATCCTGGGTGTTGATATCATCTTCATCACTGTGTCTTACATCCTGATCTTGAGGGCCGTCTTCAGGCTGCCACAGAAGGAAGCACATCTCAAGGCTTTCCATACCTGCACCGCACACATCTGTGTCTTTCTCGAGTTCTACACCCTGGGCTTCTTCTCTTTCTTTGCACACAGATTTGGGCACCACGTGGCTCCCTACATCCACATCCTTCTGTCCAGCCTCTACCTCCTGGTGCCCCCGCTGCTGACCCCCATCGTGTACGGTGTGAACACCAAGCAGATCCGGCAGCAGGTGCGAGAAATGCTCAATTCCAAGAGCAGCCCCTTCCAAAACTGAGCTCGGGTTTCTGCGGCCTCCTCAGCTCCCAGCATTGCAGCTCCTGGACCTGCCTGTCAAGCCGCCACACAACATCGTCCTTCTCTTAAAGGTTTCAAGAGCCAGCTTCAAACCAGCTAAATTGCTTGTCTCCGATACTCCTACGGGACAGCTGGTCCCATCCCTGTCTCCAAAAAATGCATATAAACAGTCTTTCTCATTTCTAGACTAAGTGTGTTTCTGCCCACTCAGTTGGTCTAATAAAAGATATTGAATCTACTACTCAGTTGGTCTGATAAAAGATATCACATCTACCCTACTCAGTTGGTCTGATGAAAGATATTGCATCTACTACTCAGTTGGTCTCATGAAAGAGATCACATCTACCCTACTCAGTTGATCTAATAAAAGACATCACATCTACTCAAAGACCTTTCTGCCCACGCATATGATGAAACGTGCCTTATCTCATGAAAGCTTGTGCTGTACATATATATGTCCATTACTTTGGTTAGTCTATATGGTATAAATCTCTGCCTTTTACTTGACTTCAGACTAACGCAACTATCTATGCCTCTGTCCACCATACAGCTATGTGTTTCTGGGGAAACACTGTCCACTCAGTCAAATACTTCTTTCTCTTTGGTGTTTAACACTGCTGTAAGTATAGAGAGCACCAATATCTCCTCTTATCCTTTGTCTTCCTGGGCCAAAAGAGTCAAGTTTTGACCATTTCCGTTCATAAAATATGTTGTCCATCCCTCTGATGATTCTGCTCCACTTCTCTGGGATTGTTACTATTGGAGGTCATCTCTCTGAACTTGGGTGACCAGCCCCAAACACAGTAGTCCAGGGGAGGTCTCCCCAGAGACTTGCACAAGGGTATCACTACATCTCTGTCCCTACTGGAAATCTGTTACCTACTCCCTCTGTGCTTGCATTTGTCCTTTTCAGTTATCTCACTTTGGGTTTCAGTCACCTCAGGATCAGCTAATACCCAAAAGTCTTCCACCTTCTCAGTCCTTTCCAAATGACGAGCTCCAAAATTACAGCAGAGCATTATATGATATGTCATTTGTGTTATGGCTCAGCATCTTGTATGCATAGGATGATAGGACAGGAGGACTAGATGGGACCTCATTGGGTCATTTAGTCCAGCCCCTGCTCAAGGCAGGATTATCTCAGCCAAGGCTCTGTCCAACCTGCTCTTGAACATTTCCAGGGGTAAAGATCCCACTTTCTCTAGGTGTCTGTTCCAATGCTGGACCCCTCTCAGAGTGAGGAAGCTCCTCCTTGATGGCCAACCAAAATTCCCCCTACTGCAGCTTGAGGCCATTGCTCCTAGTCCTGACCCCCCTATGGTCACAGAGAAAAGCCCATCTCCATCCATTCTGGAATCACCCCTCAGTAGGGTTGCCAACCCTCCAGGATTTCCCTGAAGTCTCCAAGGAATTACATATAAATCTCCAGGGGACTGCAGAGAGTCACCCAGGAGATACATGGTAAGGCATTCATTAAAATAAATATTAAATGTTGAATCTGATTTATGCAGTAGTTCAGTGGGGTTTTACAACATAATAGTCATGTGCCTTCCTGACGTAAAGTCTATGCGCTGTAATCCGTACCTGATACAAAGCAAGCACGCGGGCATGTTTGCGTTGTGTGTCCCAGGCCTGTCGGCATTCTGGAAACCTCCTGGAATAGATTCAAACAGCATTGGCAACCAGACCCATCTTTATACCCATCAGGTTGTGAAGAATGTGATCAGATCACCCCTCCATCTTCTTTTCTCCAGACTAAACAACCCTCTTCATTTCTATTATACATCCTCATCCCATCTCTATCAGATTCTCATCCCAGTTCTGGTCTCCCAGTCTTCAAGATATGATACAAGATATTGTGATTTTTTTTCTGTGTGATATCCCAGCCCTCCTCTGCACTGACCAACATTGTGCAGAGACAGGGAGTTAGCCGTGTTAGTCTGGAGTCAAGGTTGGAAAGAAGGCAGTGTAGATCTGCACCTTATAAACCATCTAGCTTAATCTAGAAGACAAATAGTAGTCTGTATGTCGCCTTGGTGCTCTCTATACAAGTTTGTGCTCTCTATGTGTTTTTTTTTAACTACATACGATGAATATCTATGATGAGTATCTACCCTGCCTTCTTCCCAGCCTGGTGTCATCAGCAAATGTTTTCAGCTTGCTGCCAGCAAGTGTGCCAAGGCCATTAATGAAGATATTCAATAGGATCCATCCCAAGCAGCAGTCCTGGAGGAACTCCCCTTGGAGCTCCCTTCCAAGCAATGCTTCCCCTTCCAGTATTATCCAGGGCTGTCTTCCCTTGACCCCATTTTCCCTCTCTCACACATCCTCAATCTCGCTGCTGCTTCTGACTTTGCTGGGAGGTCCGTGCCCTGAACCATGCCAGCACTCAGTCCAATAAAAGAAGCTCCCTGGTTTTCATGGATGGAGAAAAATGCTTTATCCTTCCCCTCTCGAGCTCTATGGAGCAGGATGCAAATAGAGAGAAGGGCAAAGCCTTCATTTCCCTGCTCTCGCGGCCTTCAGTCCTGGCCAGCTCACACACAATTGGTGTGGCTATGTTTGTGCATGTGTGCGCATTGGAGGCAAATCGAAAATAAGGGTTGGAAGGGAGGGCAGGAGGTCACATCTAGTCCAACCCCTGCTCCAAGCAGGACCAGTCCCAGCTACATCATCCCAGCCAAGGCTTTGTTGAGCCAGGTCCTAAAAACCTCCAGGGATGGAGACTCCACCACCTCTCAGGGTAGCCTCTTCCTGTGCTTCACCTCCAACCTAGTGAGAAAGTTTTTCCTCATATCTCACCTAAATCCATTATCACAAACAGTTGCCACTACAGAAATCCATGATGAACCCATGTCTTGAAGATCATCTGCCCTTCTGGTCCCAACTTCTCAAAAAGGAGGCAGCAGAAGTAGAAAAGGCTCAGAGAAGGGCAACCAAAATGATGGGGGCCATAAGCAGTTGCCAGACTCAAATGGCTATGATGTTGTGGGTTGGAAAGGAGAAGGGGGAGTA